GGAGATATATTAGCTGAAATCAGCTGAAATCGAATGTTTGTCAATATCGAACAAATCTTGTCCATCATTTTTGATCTAACTCCAGTTGATTTCATTCTTCTTTGACCAGTGATTAGTATATGAATTAACCGAATTGCTAAACCTTAATGAAGATACAAGCCCCTTGACCACCTTAGTGTTCTGGGTATCCTGTTTTCTCATTCCTCCTTGTAAAAACATATTCGCGTGTTTGGTCCCGCCGTGTAACTCGACATACTCCCATCTTAATTGTCTTAATTAGCTTCCGAGACTCAATGATGCATTTCCTGGTTGTTATGACAGCGGGTTGCCACGGCCACACTTATCTCTCATATTCCTACAAAAATATTATGAGGTAGGTTACTTTACCAAATGCAGGGACTCTTAATCATTTCAACTCAACTCAATCAATTTGGCCAAATTTTACTTAATATGGACCTCTATGGCATTTTGAACGATCACTTTCAATTAATTTGTTTTACACAAGAACAATTAGAAACTTGCTTTAGCCTTGTTCTGGGAGAATTCACACAATCTCGCTTTGGATTCCAAAATGTTTTTGATGCAAGAAATTGCGGATAGTACTTGAATTTGAAGTGTCATAGCTAGCCAACTGCAATATTTTGGATCTCAGCGTGATGCTACCCTAACCTAAGATTAAATGACCGCTCTATTCTCATCTATTGTAATACATTGTGATACCAAACGTGAGTTGTTCTTGTTAAAATAACACCAATTCATTTTCAATGAGTCCCCAATGGTGTTTTCAAAACAAATTCCCGCCTTAATCCCATTGAACGCCGTGGGCCAAATCAGGATCCATACAGGATTAAATGTAGCAAGCGATTTATATGGATTAGGGGGCGATAATAGGGATTAACACTGTCGTGCTAAAAATCACACGGAGATTCGTACGAGCAACTCAAAGATTCCAACGGTTACTCTGAAAACAGTCTCAATGAGACCGCGAAGTGTCTGTAAACATTGACGGTAGGCCCCAGTGGGTGAACTTAATGTTCAAAAGGCTTCGCGACGCCCTCTCAGGAATCCCGGGGTATAATAGGGCAACAACGTCCAAACCCGATTTGTAACATTTTCATCTCGCTGTTTTGCGCGCCACATCTTTGCAGAAGCTCTAGGGAGCTAATGTAATGTAAACGATTGAGAGTTATATGGTTCTTCCATGAAATTATGATTCTGTTGCAAAGCCTGCAAGTTTTATCTAGGATGAAGAATGTCGATAAAACGGTAGATTATGTAACCATGTCGTATCAAACTGATATCTTGTCGCATGACGACTATATCTATTATATTTTCGGCGAGCTAACTGATGCAGGCCGACTGTTACCACAAGTTTAACTTGGATCGGATGACATAAACATTTGGTGAATTTGCTACAATGCTCTCAGTTTGCGACAATTTCTCCTGAAAACACAAGCCAGAAAGCCATGACAAACGATTTCATGATCACCCTATGTTAATAAGTTTCTCCTTAAAACATCATAACAGTGCTAATTAAACAAAAATTGGTCTAAAAAGTACAGCGCTTTTCGTCGTGTGACTTTTTCGCAAAAATGTTAAGTCAATAAAACTTGAAGTTGACCAATTCATTATATGATGCGGATTACTATAGCTTAAAAGATTAAATAAATATTTGTGTAGATTAAACAGCTTGCGGCTTTAAGAAGTATGAATGAACCGTCCGAATTGACACGCTCCTACTTAAAGAATCGAACCCATTCATATTTCTAAAACCATCACAGCATAAACCTGATAAAATAAATAACAAAAATGATAGATGAAGCTTGTTGCTAAAATTTAACAATCGAAGTTTTGACGTCTTTGACAAGTAAAACAATTGGCCCGGATGGGGATCGAACCCACGACATTCGCGTTATTAGCACGACGCTCTAACCAACTGAGCTACCGGGCCTCGATGAAGCCAGAGGTATGACTACCTTGATTGGATGCACCACAATTCTAACCAACAATCCGTGCAATCAACAAATATAATTGTTTGGGTGATTTTAATTATGCCACGTTTTTAATAGTTTAAAGCTTTGTATTATTGAAGAACCTGGTTAAAGACATAATATATAATTTAATGTTCTGTTTTTGCTATATTGCCGAAAAGTTGAAGCATTGACAAGGATTAAAGCTGCCATGGTTTATTAGTAATGTTTAATATAGATATAGAAATTCAATCTTCAAAACCTGCAAAGGATTCAGTTTTAAACGAAGAAAAAATATTGGCCCGGATGGGGATCGAACCCACGACATTCGCGTTATTAGCACGACGCTCTAACCAACTGAGCTACCGGGCCTTAATGTTTCATCACTGATCACCACTTTAAGTTGTAATAATTCGATATACAAATATGCCATCTTTTAAACCGATAAGAACACTTTATTGAATATCTAAGTCACAATATCTTAAAATCTAGTTTATACTGCCATCTATACATAGCAATTATTGCATCAGCCAAGTTAAATCGAAACTATATACATAAATGGGTATTAAACCGCATCTTTCAAGTGGAGATATAGCTCAGTGGTAGAGCATTCGACTGCAGATCGAGAGGTCCCTGGTTCAAATCCGGGTGTCTCCTTCACTTTTATTTTTTGGAGAATACTTGAGAATAAAATTATTTATAATATTTTTATTAAGCTTTACAGAGCTTTATCAGAATATAAATTTAATGGGGCTGCAAAGTTAATAGGCGGTAATTATGTTTTTCATGATTAGTCAATTATCATACACACTGGTGATCCACTCGATTACGCTGGTTACCGAAACGGTTCGTTTCGGAAATTAAATCGACGATTAAATACGACGATGAAATAAGAAAAAAAGAAAAATGTTCCGACATTTTGCTACCGAAACGGTCGGAACATTTTTCTTTTTTTCTTATTTCACTCGTTGTAGGCAGAATTCCCACGACATTTTATACACAAACGTGTATCAGTACAGTATCATATGCTTATAAAAATGTACATATTTGCTTACAAATAGTTCAGAAGACAACAGAATCGTCGATTTAATTCCTCACTTAAGTTGCAGAAACGGTATTTTAACCCAAAACCGTTTCTACATAACTTAAGTGAGAAATTAAATCGACGATTTTGTTGTCTACTGAGCTATTTTTTTCGCAAACTTGTACATTTTCTACAACATATGATACTGATATACGTTTGTGAGGAAAAACGCCGTGGGGGATTCTACCTACAACGCGTGAAATAAGGGAGAAAGAAAAATCGTAGCGTTCGACGCTCCGACATTTTGTTACCCGAACTCCCATGCAGTGTCTCGGTATAGACACTGCGGCGGGCAGACGAAGAAAATCCCCAAAATTTGGGGAAAATAGTTCCCTTTTTCATCATATATGTGGTCAATTTTCACACAACTTATAAAATATGTATTCATAAATGTTCTCCAAACATTATTTTTTTCAAAATATTTCAAAATTATTGAAATATGAGAAGAAATCACCGCGGAAGGAATTCTGAGTAAAAGTTGTGTTGATAATACTTTACCGCACGTGTTGTTTATCAGTTAATACGCGCAATTCAACCAATGAAATTGTCTAAATTTAACAATCACGCGACCTGAGCATGGGACTAGAACCAATCACCTCAGTTGTTTATTACGAAGTTACCATGCTTACGGTGAGATACCTGCCCGCCGCAGTGATATTATCACTGCACGGGAGTTCGTTTGTTACCGAAACGAACCATTTCCCTAAATTTAAACTAAAAATTCAAGCTGGAGATGCCGGGGTTCGAACCCGGGGCCTCGTACATGCAAAGCACGCGCTCTACCGCTGAGCTACATCCCCAATCGATGATTACAAGAATAACTATGGTTTATTTAAAGAGAGAATCAGAGATAGCGAGCAGGCTAAACATTTCAATTTTAGAATATTTTTGGCTCATGTCATTCCTTGTCATGTCTATTTTCTAAAAATCACAAAAGTGCATACTTTATTCAAGGAAAACTAAAGATTTTTACAATAATGTATTATTTTTCTATAAGAATGGTTACCATTCTTATTATTTGGGAGAATTTAAACATTTTTCACTCATTTTTGCACTTTTAAACATTAATAACTTCACCAATTTATAACATATTGTGAATCTTTTAGGAGATATTGTATTTGATATTGTAAGGAATAGATTGGTAGGTCAATTATACATGTTGCTTGTAATTTTGTCACCCCCTATAGATCAGATTCTGCCTTTAAGGAATAAATAATGATAGGCCATTCAATATGGTGAAATTCAGCACGAGTTGGACAGAATGTTGCACAAAGCACGAACCGAAGGTGAGTGCATTTGTACTAACATTCTGTCCAAATTGGTGAGGTTATTAATGATTCAAAGTGCAAAAATGAGTGAAAAATGTTTAAGTTCTCCTGAATAATAAGAATGGTAACCATTCTTATAGTAAAACAATACATTAATTGTAAAAAATCGTTAGTTTTCTTGGAATAATAAAGTATGCACGGATTTTTAGAAAATAGACATGACAAGGAATGATATGAGCCAAAAATATTCTAAAATTGAAACAATTTTTTGTTTAGCCTGCTCGCTATATCTGATTCTCTCTTTAAATACATTAATGAATGAATTCTATGCAAGTAAGAATTAAAGATGGCATTCTTGTAGGAAAGTGGAAACCTCGACATCCTTCATTCAAAGAACTTCATTTATAACTCAATTTAGGAAATGGAAAGAAGTGAAATACCCTTGGGCCAAGGATGGCATCCGAGGCAAGTGAATAATTGTTCAAATAACATTGGCAAAAAGCCACCACAGTGACACATATATCCATGAGATGAAAGCAATGTCATGCATAGTATTGTCTTAATAGTAAACCAGGCTTGATAAAATATCATATTGATCCTCTATTCCAATGCTGATTTATATACGGATGCAACCCGTTCACGTACTAATACCTGCATACTGTATATGATAGAACGAGAGCAATATTACACCGTATATCATATCAACTTTAAGTACGAGGATTTCTAAAAAAAACATTCTAAGGCTGTGTCACATTGCACATTTGAATTACTTTAAATAGCGAAGCTAATGCAAATAAAAAAGCGTCAACAATAAAATGCTACAAAATCAACAATAGTAGTGAATGGCATGTTGACCTTTTTGGTCCCAGTACACTAGTGTAGCACGGAACACCGGTGTCCCAGTAAGTCTTATATGGTGTATAAGTTTAGAATGGAGAGATCTTACGATAACAAGGATGGCGTCCAAGATGATGGAATTTCGACCGTGGATGTAAAGGACGAAAAGGACACAGAACGAGGGATAGAGGAGCACTCTAAGGCACCGAGGGAAACTGATGAACTGCTTGAAGAAGATGGAGACTATTCTAAAATACCCATAGACAGAGGGTATGCTTGGTTTGTCGTGTTAGGTATGTTAGCTTTCTCCTACTTCATAGTATTTCTCCATTCCGGTTATCTGATATTCTTAACCAACCGCAAATTGTTGAATCAATGTACGATTTAGCAATTCAAGTAGGCATAGTACAGGAATGTAAAGCAACTGGTACTAACATAGTACAAGCATTGTATATGTAAACTGTAAACTAAGTTTGAGGTCAGTGCGCACTTTCAGCCATTTTGATGAACTTTCATGACCATGTCACTTTGTGCTCAGATAAACATAATCATACCACACTGGTTTTCATTCTTGCATAAAAGGTGCATTAGCGCACCTAGATTATTATTTCAGGGTCGCTAATTCTTTAGAATGTATGAATAAGTAGAATATACAGTGTTCTCTACTTTTCAAAATCGAAAAAAATTACAAACGTACAGGCCTGTCAACTGTCCCGCAATTTGCGTATTTGTCACGCATTTGCTGAAGAATTTGAAGTCACGCCAGTTTTTTTTGCGTGACAGAAAATGTCACGCAAATACGCATTTTACCTGGTAATTGTCACGCAAAAATATTTCTGTAGAAAATTTTTCAAAATATGTTGACGATACGGTAAAAATACGAACGTCGGAAAAAACCGAACGCAATTTGTTCGGATTTGTCACGCGAATCCCGTATGTGTCACGCATGTTAATTGGAAATTTTCGTACCTACCCCCCCCCCCCCCCCCCCGTTGACGATATCGCGATGTTCAGATTTGGACCAAGGTGTCCAAAATTTGAACAAAGGTGTTCAACATTTGCAAGTCACTCATGTTAGGTGTCCCCAAGTTGACAGGCCTGGTACACACATACCTTGCCCGTAGCCAGCTTTTACCAGGAGGGGTATTTACTTCATTTAGAACGTGTATAAACTGTATTTTGACCCCATGAGCATCGAACAGACACTTTAAAGGGATTATTGGTACAATAAATAAATATAATTAGTAAGAAGGTGAAATGTCTTCTTTCCTACTCTTTGCATTCGTTTGACTTCACTTCTTAAAAGAGAGCTTCTTCTTCCTTGTAGTTTAACTAGACTCTGCACGCAGGGTACTTCTTTCCATGAAAGGCAATAAATATGTACAGACACCATATGGGCGTAAGTCTATATTTAGAAAAGGTATTGCCAACCTGTCTGATCCAAGACGTTGTTCTGATCAGTTTAAGTGTTTTGGGGAAACTGCTTCAATTTTACCCTGCATATCAGGCAGAATGAGAGCTAGAGAGCGTGACAAACTGACAAAATTGCAAGAAACATGCTCCGTTGACTTACCAATGTACCCTTTATCAAATAAATAAGTTTAGAATAGGAACAAAACTCTCAAATAATTAACAATTTTCTATTTCATTTTCAATTTCAATTTGTACGCTTGTGCGTATTTGCATGGCATTATAAAACGACCATGTATACAATGATTAATTGTCTGTACTAGAGTAATAATGAGTATACAAAAATGTGTATGATGTATGTAGTGTGCATGGCCATGTTCGTTAACATATTCCAGAAAACAATACAATATTACGTATGTTTTATGTGTTTTGAAACTTTTTCCAGGTTGTTTCCTCATGAACATTCTCTTTGTCGGAACATTCAAGTCAGTTGGCATCCTGTTTGTGGAAATACTAGAGATATTCGAAGTGAGCACAAGTCTAGCTGTATGGATGATAGCATTGTATGGCACTGTATGGGCAGCCACAGGTAAATATATTGCCTTCTTGAATGATCATGTATGGATGATAGCACTGTTTGGGCAGTTACAGGTAAATATATTGCCTTCTTAAATGATCATGTATGGATGATAGCACTGTATGGGCAGTTACAGGTAAATATATTGCCTTCTTCATCATGTATGGATGATAGCATTGTATGGCACTGTATGGGCAGCCACAGGTAAATATATTGCCTTCTTGAATGATCATGTATGGATGATAGCACTGTTTGGCACTGTATGGGCAGTTACAGGTAAATATATTGCCTTCTTGAATGATCATGTATGGATGATAGCACTGCTTGGCACTGTATGGGCAGTTACAGGTAAATATATTGCCTTCTTGAATGATCATGTATGGATGATAGCACTGTTTGGCACTGTATGGGCAGTCACAGGTAAATATATTGCCTTCTTGAATGATCATGTATGGATGATAGCACTGTATGGGCAGTTACAGGTAAATATATTGCCTTCTTCATCATGTATGGATGGTAGCATTGTATGGCACTGTATGGGCAGTTACAGGTAAATATATTGCCTTCTTGAATGATCATGTATGGATGATAGCACTGTATTGGCAGTTACAGGTAAATATATTGCCTTCTTCATCATGTATGGATGGTAGCATTGTATGGCACTGTATGGGCAGTTACAGGTAAATATATTGCCTTCTTGAATGATCATGTATGGATGATAGCACTGTATTGGCAGTTACAGGTAAATATATTGCCTTCTTCATCATGTATGGATGGTAGCATTGTATGGCACTGTATGGGCAGTTACAGGTAAATATATTGCCTTCTTGAATGATCATGTATGGATGATAGCACTGTATGGGCAGTTACAGGTAAATATATTGCCTTCTTCATCATGTATGGATGGTAGCATTGTATGGCACTGTATGGGCAGTTACAGGTAAATATATTGCCTTCTTGAATGATCATGTATGGATGATAGCACTGTATGGGCAGTTACAGGTAAATATATTGCCTTCTTCATCATGTATGGATGGTAGCATTGTATGGCACTGTATGGGCAGTTACAGGTAAATATATTGCCTTCTTGAATGATCATGTATGGATGATAGCACTGTATGGGCAGTTACAGGTAAATATATTGCCTTCTTCATCATGTATGGATGGTAGCATTGTATGGCACTGTATGGGCAGTTACAGGTAAATATATTGCCTTCTTGAATGATCATGTATGGATGATAGCACTGTATGGGCAGTTACAGGTAAATATATTGCCTTCTGCATCATGTATGGATGGTAGCATTGTATGGCACTGTATGGGCAGTTACAGGTAAATTTATTGCCTTCTTGAATGATCATGTATGGATGATAGCACTGTATGGGCAGTTACAGGTAAATATATTGCCTTCTTCATCATGTATGGATGGTAGCATTGTATGGCACTGTATGGGCAGTTACAGGTAAATATATTGCCTTCTTCATCATGTATGGATGTTAGCATTGTATGGCACTGTATGGGCAGTCACGGGTAAAGATATTGCCTTCTTGATCATGTATGGATGAAAGCATTGTGTGGCACTGTATGGGCAGATACAGGTAAATATATTGCCTTCTTGAATGATCATGTATGGATGATAGCACTGTTTGGCACTGTATGGACAGTTACAGGTAAATATATTGCCTTCTTGAATGATCATGTATGGATGATAGCATTGTATGGCACTGTATGGGCAGCCACAGGTAAATATATTGCCTTCTTGATCATGTATGGATGAAAGCATTGTATGGCAATGTATGGGCAGTTACAGGTAAAGATATTGCCTTCTTGATCAATGTATGGATGAAAAGATTGTATGGCACTGTATGGGCAGTTACAAGTAAATATATTGCCTTCTTGATCATGTACAGTATGGATGATACGCGGCATTGTATGGCACTGTATATATTGGCAGTCACACGTAAATATATTGCCTTCTTGATCATGTATGACTGATTGTATGGCACTGTGTGGGCAGGATTTTAATGCACGATAACACGACAATTGTATTTACAGCGCGCGCAAGTCCAAAAAGTACGAAATATCCCAAAGAGGAGAGACGGTATTCTGCAATCGAAGAAGAAGAATTATGTCCTTGAAAGGAGATACAGGACGTATAGTTACTCTACTTGTATTACGTCATTATATATACTTCCAGCTCCATTTGCCGCTGGGTTCAGCCGGAGATACACTAACAGAGCTGTCGTCATGTTCGGCGGCTTCTTTTCTGGAATCGGTTGTATCCTTGCAGCAGTGTCACCGAACATTGGACTAGTTATTCTGTTCTATGGATTCGTTTGTGGTAAGTGTACTGACAGATATGTGTACTGGTCTCATTGCTATCAGAGTAGTACCCTGGTATTCGTTTTAACTACTTGCGTTTTAACACAAATTGAAGTCTGGATGCAGATATTGAACAAACAATTACTTTATCGGGGAACATGTTCTCAAATCTCAAATTCTTAGTAAAGTTCGCAAACAACTTTTGGGATATCTGGATATTTCGGCATAATCGGATGTGTATTTGGACTGTTAGTTAAAAGAGAGTTAAAAAGCTGTCAGAAATTCACCGCCACTCCCAATATATACACCTGTTCACCTCAAGGTATCTGATGGAGCCTAACGACTGCAAGACTCGAGAAATCCGTTGCCACAGCAACACATCCCAACAAAAATGACTGGGTTTCAATTACCTTAACATGTTTCTATCTCCCTCTTTAATCAACCATATCAGTTCATATTTACAGGGTATCACAAACTTATCCAACACTTAGTGTACTAAATGTATAATAACATTAAAAAATAAATTTTGATATTTATTGGCAAAATGAATATCCGGAGGATATCGTAACGATATACTCCGGGCGGAGGATATGAAATTCATTTTGCAATGATATTATACATTTAGTACACTCCTTGTAATTGTAGGATAATAAGAACATCCTCCATAATCTACTCGGTGATATTGATATATGCACTCGTTCGGTTCGCTCTCTCGTGCAGATATCAATATCACCTCGTAGATAAAAATGATATTCCTCAAAATCATAGGATATCCTATAAATATTACCCATTGCCCATATGCAAAATTGTACTGATTCTGTCACTGGTTGCTATGGTAACTAATTAAAATATGTAAAATTCACATTTTTTCTTAAATTTCCTATTCTATTGCTTTTTAGAAATATCACTATTATAGCAACTTTAACAGGTCATTGATTCATAGCACTGCCCAAAAGAATTCCTTGGACACTTGTTGATTATTTTAGACAAAATATTTTAGCTTGCAATTGTATGCACAATATGTTGATGACATAAATAGTAGAATATAAATTTTATAATTCCAGGTCTTGGGATAGGCTTGGTTTATGGACCAAGTCTTGTAATGGTAGCCTTATATTTCGAAAAGAGACGAGCCATCAGCAACGCCATCGCTGTTACTGGAGGTGCTATTGGCTCTCTCGCAATGCCACCCTTACTAAGGGTGCTTCTTGATCAGTATGGATACAAAAATGCCATGCTCATTTTGGGTGCCCTGATGTTTAACATTATCGTCAGTGGGGCTCTCTATCGCCCGCTATCATTCTACACTGAACGAAAGAACTCATATAAATGCAAAGATAGCAATAAAGATGGCACTGTATATCAAAATCAAGATGGATCAATGTGTGTGGAGCCAGGTTCAGTATCTCATTTATACACAAATATTGAATCAAATGATTATAAAGAAGGAGGGTCGGTAGATGCAATGCCGAACGTGTTGAACAAAAGACTTCTGCTAAACAGGCAGAACTCTGTATCCATGCCTCAAATTAATCAGAGTACGGAGAGGCAAAAAATACATATACAAGAGGATGAACCCAATCTCAAGAAAATATCCACTTCATTTGCCCATTTAGCTTGGGAGTATGGGAGTAATCTCTCGATAATAGATGCCTCATTACAGAGCCTAGCTACCAGAAAACAATATCTTCATAGACATTTGGTCGTTGACTCAACAACAGGAAATATGAATAGTGAAAGTGGTGACGAGGACAGAACTATCACTAAAAGTAGTGGTTGTCTGCAACATCTGAACTGTTGTGGTTCAAGTACGAATAAAGACCAGCCACCCCTGTTTGATTGCAAATTAATGAAAAACACCATATTTTTAATATTCAGTATTGCCATGTTTCTTGCCAATTGCGCGTATTCAAATCAGTTCATTTTTCTCCCGCCATATTGTAATGATGAAGGTATTTCAAAGAATTGGACAGCAATTGTCATGTCTGTCATCGGAGTTGGTGATTTCGTTGGACGAATAGTGTGTGGACTCATTGCAGACACCAAGGTGATTAAGCCATCGACTATGATGGCTATAACCCTGATCATCCCAGGAGTGTTTAGTATTCTATTACCATTTATAAAGTTTGATGGCGTATTCTTCTTGGCTGCGTCGGTGTTTGGATTCTTTGGAGGCGCATTCATAGCATTGATGGCAGTGGTGCTCGTTGATTGGTTAGGAAAAGAGAAACTTTCTGCAGGTTTTGGTCAAATGTTGATATTCTTTGGTCTGGCGTATTTGTTGACGACGCCAGTTATAGGTAAGAATACTACAATATTAGAGAGATTTCGCACATAAGTGAAAGTACAACTTATACGTATACGAAATAGTTTAAAGGGTCATGTCGAACTATTATATTTACTAAAATAAATTTTAAATTGTAGTTAATGGAATATAACGATTCCCGTTATAGAAAAGCTCCATCAACTAGAGACTATGAATGCACTGTCATCTGCACGTGTAGATTATGCACATTATAATTAAATGCTTGCTTCAGTGTCCTTGTAGTTGTAGTGTATTATAAACACGATCCTTTAAAGGAAGTCATGATTCTTTAAAGTGAGTCATTACATAAACAAGTTGATTATTTCAATGTTTTCATGATCAGTATAAGTTCAATGAACTTACAAAACGGCATATTTACGTAGATGATAACGTATACAGTTGGATCTCCGTATAAAGATTTGCCTACATGTGTGTGGAACAATTGACCGCAAGCATTTTTTTAAATTAATTGGCTGAGTGGGAACAGTATCCAATCAAATACTTTAACCATCAATTTGAAACACCAATCAAACCAGTAGGTTCTAGCAATTCCTGGAAACGACCCATTCAGTAGCTCAACATATGTCATACAGGGTGTTTCATAACGAAGATCTCCAAAAAGTCAATTTGAGAAGAGATGGGTCTATAACATATGTACTATATATGAGCCTATTTTATATTCTAGACAAACACATTTGGATCAACTAAACATGCTACAATTCAAGAAAGTACAAATGGCATCCCTTTGACCTGTATTTATTACAGTCCGAGAAGATCTTTCCTGACGAAAAGCTCACATTATGAAACACCTTGTACGTTTACCTATAAGTATAAGTATACGTTATAAGTTGTACTTTCACTAGGTGCGAAATCTCTCTATTGTGTATTTTTTGCGTGTATGTTTGATGGTGACTTGGTATGTAGCCACTTTTACAGAGTGTATTACTTATCTGTACACAGCTGGACACGACTGTCCTTCTTGAACATGATCAACTTGAATTGGAAGTTACTCATTCTGTGTAAAGAAATCGCCAGGAAAAGGGCCGGGGAAAAGGGGAGGAATTTTTCACATTTATGAAAAAGGAGAAGAGATAAACATTGTTCAGGAAATGGTTTTGAGGTGATCTTAAATAAATTGTTATTTGTTTTAGTCATCGCCATTATTTATAACGTTAAACATGTTTGAAGTATTGAGAAAAGTAAATTTACGTTTTCTCCGACATGCAATTAAAGTTGATTTGAAGTAGATGTAGATCGAGAGAATCGTGTGAAATCAAGCGAGCAATTAAAGACCAAGGAGGACTTTAAATTCATAATCAACAGTCCAAAAGATTAGAATACATCACTTTTACTTTTTGTGTGTTTTGGAATTATTCGTTTGGAAATAAGACCCAACACTCCCGAAATTCCGAGTAAACAAAATGGCGGCTGTTTGAATTCGAATTTTGTAATCACGACATCTCCTTATATGGAAGAATATCGAAATTGCATTCTCGGAGCCAATAACATCCGGGCTTTGTTTTGTCATCTGGACTTTGATGAGCGAAACATATAAGAAGCAAGAAAAGATCATCTACGATTTCTGTTTTTTTTTGAAGAAATTCAGGTTTATGGTGGGTTAATAGGTCAGTCTTAAAATATAAAATGAATCAATGTTGAAATCAATTTCAATTTCAAGGAGTACATAAACATATATTTGGATTCATATCAGAAATCCAGAAATATTAACAAATGCATAGAAATGTAAATGTTGCGTTCATGTTTGTTTCCAGGTACGATACGTCAGTACCTTGGCAGTTACGACATTCCTTATATAATGTTCGGAATCTTCGACATCCTGGCTGGTCTTCTGATTCTGTCTGAAGTATACATCAGGAAAACCATAACGCCAACTGGGCAATAGACTGGAGAACATACGATTTCAACATTGTGTTGCATCAAGGATGGGTGTTCGCGATATTATATATTTTCTAGTTTGATGTGACAAAAAATGTTAAGGCTTGCATCCAGGACATATAAAGATGGTTCAGTGGGGTGTTTCTCCAAAACATTCCTATGTACCAGGCATGAGAAATGTATAGCGGCACATAGAATGCACTGGCCTAGGAAAAATTAAGGCCCGAAAATGTCTGGGCCCCAAAATCTGCTTCTCTTCCCTGGAATGGGTCTAATAATGGACATTTTGCGCACGACACTGCACGCAGAACTTTGTGTATTACTTATTCAGAATCTCCATTCACTCGAGCTACCTACGGAGCTAAGAAATATCTCTACTTGAATCATAAACGGAGTAAAGATTAGTTATATAAACGATTTTCCTGGAATCACGGTGCCAAAAATATCGAAAACCATAAAAAATGGCGCTCCTCACATTAATTGGGTAGATGGATATAGTCCTGCATAAGGATACTAGCGGTTAGTGATTTGGTTTTCTGTGTAAAAAGTCATTCTTCTCCTTCCCTACCTCATTAGAGCGCCATCTTGCGTTTGGTAAATGAATCGGGGCTCAATATTTATAAGCTAGGTCCTAATTTATCTGGAAACATGTTTCAGTGGGACTGGGAAATCTCATTTTAAGTGGGCGGCGGAGTGATTTTGACCTTGGTGATTTTACCAGAATTTTCTGAGAAATCTGACGAATCTGAACAATGGTACCAAATAGTGACATTTTGGAGCAACTTTGGTGTTTTGAGGGTAAGGCCACTGTGCCACGTACCCTGAATTCCATTCTCCCGTGTCATTCAATTGTTCTCGGGGCAGCCTTACCTTTGTTTCTTCCCACCGTTGTGACGTCATAAGATGCAATCGAACGCCTTGACATGGATATCACTTTAAAGATAGTTGAGATGGCTTTCCAATGATACCAAATATGACCATGTTCGCCTCGGTTGGGTGTACTCAATCTGTGATGCAATCTTTAAGGTGTACCCCTACCCCAAAGAAATTTCAAGAAATCTCAAAATCAAATTTCCTGAATTTTGCTAAAAGGACCTGTCGATAACCCTACTATCACACCAAACTAGTTCTCACTACGTTCTCGAAAACGGGCTTCAACTGTGTACGAACGGACTGGACCTACTAAGAACCGTTTGGGATCTATTTACAAACTTCATCGAACGTACTCGAACGGGTAGGTCCTCTAGAACTTAGACAATGCTCAAAATGTTCTCGTGGTCGTCGTGTTCTACAATTAGAACGAGTGACAACGTACTAACGACGAGCTGGACGTACTACGAACGGAACCGTCGTACTTCAATCCTACTAGGGACGTTTTAACAACGAGTTGAACTGTCTGAGGACGTGTTGAGAACGAGGTAGAACTAATTGCAAACGGGTTTAAACTGATCAAGAACGTATTTAACACTGCTTATGAACGAGTTAGCAAAAATATAGCTATCACCCAAACAAGTTGCCACTGCGTTCTTCAAAACTGGTTTGAAACTGTGTGCGAACGGAATGAACGTAGCTGCAACTTTCTAAGGTCTATTTACGAACTTTATGAACGTTCTCAGACGGGAATGTGATTTTAGAATTTTGAATCGATTCAAAATTTGATTGCGACCATACCGTTCTGTAATCAGGTCATGTTGACCTGCTAGACTAAGGGACGCGTTCTACGACGTTGCACACCGACGTGGTTCGACCTGAACGAACTGCGAACGAGATGGACGTATTGAAGACTGTTTAAGAACGAAGAAGCTAATTATTTCAGACATATTTCCCGACCACAGCCAGATTGAGCCCGTTTTACGACGTTTTCGTAGGACTGGCAAGAACGGGCAAGAACTAGTTTGGTGTGATAGGGGGGTAAGGATTGATTCTTCCCCCGTGCATTTTGTCAAATATAGCGTTGTTATATACCATTGTGATCGGGATAATGCCTCCAATGCTAATATATCCATGTAATATGAATTAACGGTGCTAAAGATGCAATTTACTCCACACGCTCAGGATTTTCTTCAATATTCAAATGTCATATTGTCTGCGATTGTAACGTTGCCCTTGACTGCATAGTAAGGTTGGCCTATGCACCAAAAGTTTCGTGTGAGAAATTACGCCTGTAATATCCAAAATTTTGCAACCACGCGTGTAATTTCGTACGGGAAAGGACTTGATGATCAGTTTTCCTGGAATCAAGAAAACATGCAAAATGGTCTCTACATTGATCAGGGTGATTCTAAGGATACAATTAAATCCCAACGCTCCAGATTTTCTTTTAAATTCAAAATACCCAATTGTCTGTAATTGTAACGTTGATCTTGAACTTGAATGTACATAGTACATAGATAGTCATGTTTTAAAGCGTGTGATTGTGCCATATCAAAATATGAAAACATTAAATTATGCTTTTATAATAAACTTGGTACATTCATAAAAACGTTTGTCTTTGTGTCTGTATTTGGTCGTTTTGATGTCCATTTCTTGATAATGGGGAATGTTCCAATCAAGTGTTAACCATAGGCAGATAGGTTATGGAGTTTCATTTAGTAATGTGAGTAGTATTATCCGTTGCCATCCAGCAGTGGGAGCAATAGGGAGTATGATATAATAGGGAGTATGATATAATAGGGAGCAGGGGAGTATGTGGATTCAACCTTGCAGATATAACAGGGATCAGATATGATATAACAGTGATATAACAGTGGATTCAACCTTGCATAACATGTCCAAGAATAGCACAAGAGGCTAAATCTCCCTCAATAAGATCAGACCGGGGAAGTAACTTTTTATACCGATCCGGATGAGTAATGTTTTAATCTAGCAGTGGATTCAAATTAAATTACGATCTTGGATTCAGATAAAGCTAGAGGTTAAATGTCTCCCTTCTAAATGGTTTTAGCCTCCCGAACCAACCCGTGCAAGATCTAGATTCGGATAAGATAAAGATAAGATAATATGGGTAAGACAACATCCGTAAGAGGCTAAATGAATGTAAGGGCTGCCCAAGAGGGGGCAGTGAGGACGCTTTTGTCACATTTAAAATTTACTTGCCATATTTTCTCAGATTCATTTCTTTTTAGTGAGTCAAAGCATTTAATGCAACAAACATCCGTTATGTTCCATCGTTTGATTACTGGTTGGAATTAGTCGTCTTGCATCCAATTACATTCGGAACGAATTATCTATTTTGTCACTTTCAAAACACTTGTCAGTCGGATAAATATACAAAATTGTCACTTGCAAGGATTTATTTGTCACATTTGTTCGTTTTTGAAATACCTTAAAGTCACATTTTAGAGGTCCGGTCGCCTTGTCACATAACCCTTAAGGAGCCCCAATATGTCACCTACTCCTTTCTGAATGGATAGCCTCCCCGGGATTCAGATAAGATAAACACCGCCCGTGTTATTGATAACAATGTACACAAACTTACATAATCTAGCGCTATAAGAGGAAGGGGTATGGGTCAAGATTTTCAAGAAAAAAGAACACTTCAAATATTTGGTAAGTACACAACAAAGTCTTTATTGTATTGTGTATATTTATTACCTGTATTTTTATATTATAATATTATAATTCACGCTGAAGGACAGTAGTAGACACTTATTATAGTGTTCCATCAGAACAGGTTCATGGTGTATCGTTTCGCACTTTGTTGAGATGCAACTGTTAATTTATCCTGTCAGTCTAGTTTCTGATCCAATTAGCTCGTACCTGGAAAACGAATTAGATGGTTATTTGGAGTAAAAAAGGTGTCGTGGTGCATTTCGGAAAACATGCTACAATGCAAAACCACTTTTTGAAATGCGTCTTCAAATACCAGCCTGAAAATATTTTTCCCTTAAATAAGGAGACTGAAAATCAAATGTCGTACGTGCGTTTAACATTGGAAATCACATTGACTCTCAAAAACATCGGAAATTAGAGGACCAAAAATTGTTAACATCTCAATTAGGGTTCACGAAATGTATTCCAGACCTGGATTAAGAGATTGAAAATGACAGTGAGGGGTTCTAGGAGTCTGCCGTGTAAGTCTCCAAAAACATGTACCACCTTAACTTAGTTGTTTAAAGGAGCTACGCTCTTTCTGTAGGTTGTCCTACAAGCTTACAGCTCTACCATGAATGTATTTAATGGTTTATTTTACATTGAATAAAATCAAAACTCACCATAAAAGTGTTGTCAGCTCATATCCATCCTTCTGCTTAGAATTCATTAAATCCAGTAGCACGATTTCTTAAAGATATGTTTTACCACGTGTTTCAGTCCTCATGTTAAAATCACAAGAAGCCAAGCATATTTCTTATGACAAACGATCTATTTTAAAGAGTTTATCCATTGGAATACAAAGAGGTAACTATTACCCAGTTTAATGAGCTTCCATATGGTCAACTTTTATGGCTTTACTATTTCCCCTGTTATTTGTCTTCCGCTGCTGTATCATGATTGCATCGAGAAGTGAAATGTGCGACACGTTGAAACCTGATAATATGTAGGAGTTGATGATACTGACCAAAGGTGGTTATAGGTAGAGACACATGTGATACTTATCAACCAATTACACTTTACATTAAATTGACTCGCCACTGATATAGCAGTTGGCACTTATGTGATAGCAGATAACCATATGTTTATTTCACATCATATAACCATTGGATAGAAATTATTTAAAGTAGCAACAAAAGTTATGTTTCAAAAGCATGCCAGTGTTTTCCCTGAACTTTAAATTGAAACGATGGAGGTCATTGAAGGTTTGAGTCTCAATCAACATTAAAGTTGAAAGTAACCTTTTTAGAGTCACTGCCAAATAACGAGCTTCATAATCAAGTAAGAGTTATAGTAGCATTGTAAGTCTCATCTCATCTTTGTGATCCCTTTAATTTTAATTCTAATAAGGATTGTTGTCTTATTTACAGGCAGGATACAGGATGACACAAAAGCGTTAAAGGGGAGGGGGGACTTGGAATACATGTCTTTATTTTTTGTAAATCTTGTTCACTGCTGTTCACGAGTATTGTTCACAAATGTTGACATGCATTCATTAGCATTG